CCTAAATTGGCGATTGAGGACGCGATCCACCGCCTGCTACACCGTCGTCGTCAGTTCAAGGAAACACCCGAGCAATTCGCCGCGGATCTAACGCGGTTGGCCTCCGACGCTTACCCGTCCCTCTCGGCGGCCGATAGAGACCAGGTCGTCCTTTATCACTTTAAATGCGGCCTGGACTCCGATGAGGTAGCGTATTCATTACGCCTAAACCCCCGGGCTGACCTCGAGAGCGCCATACACAGAGTCAATCGGTTGTTAGAGCCGAACTCCCCAGCGCAAGTTTACCATCGCCCTCCTGGAGGCTCGTCCTTTTCCCCTGGCTACCGACGACCTGGGCAAGGGCCCAGCTTACGCGGCTTCTCTAAGGCAAACAACAACACGACGTTTCACACTCGAAAGGGCTTTGGAAACCGTCCGCCATACTCGACAGCAGCACACCGCGCGGACGAAGCGGATTCCGGTACTCTGTCTGTCCCTATATGCTCTTCAAAGTCACCTAACACATTTCCATTCTTTACTTTAGTGCATGTTGACAACCGCCCTGTTAGGGCCCTAGTTGATACTGGTGCTACAGTTTCCCTAGTCGAATCTGATATAGTTTCGCCTGTTAGCAGGGACAGCATTGTTAAACCCAAAAGACAACCTAGCCTGCTGACGGCAAACGGAGAGCGGATGTCCACAATCGGTCTAATTAATTTGCCGTTAGTGTTCCCTACTAGCACTAAAGAACACACATTTGTCGTTAGCCCAAACGTTACGTGGGATATTTTACTTGGTGTTGATTTTCTTGTCCAGTTTAATTGTCATCTGGATATTCGTGAGCGCGTCCTTCGTTTCGGATCTGAGCCCACACCGTCCCGCCACGCCGATTTGGCGTCCCAGGAAGACGAAATCTGTGCTGCGATCTCCGCGGCGGTCGCACTACCACCCACTAACCTAGACAGCATCTTACCGGCAGATGTAGTGCTCGACGAACAAGACCGCATGGATCTGAAATTCCTGCTGGCAACCTTTGAGGACGTTTTTGCGTGGGACGAACGTTCGTTAGGGCGTTCAACACTCGTAAGACACGCAATCGACACCGGCTCCGCTAAACCCGTGTGGCAGCCCCCACGACGTATCCCGCCATATTTTCAGACGGAGGTGAACGAAATGATACAGATGATGCTTGATTCAGGCGTGATACGCCCGTCGCGCTCACCTTGGGCATCTCCACTGACCCTAGTGCCGAAAAAGGACGGGAAACTGCGCTTTTGTATCGATTATCGCCGTCTTAATGCCGTCACCACTCGAGACTCTTTCCCACTCCCTCGCATTGATGTTACTCTAGATGCACTTGCGGGGGCACGGTGGTTTTCCACACTCGACCTCAAGTCAGGCTACTGGCAGGTCGAGGTTGAACCTAAAGACAGACCAAAAACAGCCTTCATTCTTCCTTAAGGTCGTTTTGAATTTGAAACTATGCCTTTCGGCCTTTGTAACGCCGCCGCAACATTCCAACGCCTAATGCAATCGGTATTAGCGCACTTATATCCAGGCCACTGTTTAATTTACCTAGACGACGTCATTGTCTTTGGGAAGTCCATCAGTCAACATAATGAGAATCTAAGAGCCGTCCTTACGGCACTTCGCGACGCGGGACTCCGTTCAAATCCCCAAAAATGCACGTTCCTACGTAACAAAGTAACCTTCCTCGGACATGAGGTTAGCACGGAGGGCATACACCGGTGGGGACTTCGGCAAAGTTCTTCCATCCGTGGGAGGGTCCCTTCGTCGTCCTTGACTTCTTTCCCCCTTCGACTTATACCATACGTGACGCGCAGTCGGCCGGAGGCCCCGTCCTCACCGTCCACTACGATAAGCTGAAACCTTATAGAGGCCGGCTACCCAACGCGACCGCCGACACCCTTCCCATCCTTCCCCCTCACCTGGTCCCTCAACCCTCCGAAGAGGTGGAAGTCACCAGCAGCCCCTCCAGGCAGCGCCTCTGAGGACAGAGCCACCTCTTGAGAGGGGGGGCGTCTAGAGGACGTACTGACCCTGTTGTTTTAATGTGCCCTTGCTATGATCTTCCTGTACATTTTGAGTGATTGATGTTCAGAACGGTTTTGTTTTAGTGACCGCCGTCGGAGAGTGTGAGGGGGCCCGTCGAGAGACCGTCCGTAAAGTGGAGGACGAGGAGAAGACGGAACGAGATTAAATTTCCTCTGTTGTTATATTCCCTTTAATAAACTTTATCCACCGTCGATCCATTCTATCCGTGCACGCTTGCCCTTGCAGATGATGGACTTAATTCCCTCTGATTCCCAGGGTTCCCGCCGAGGACGCACTCGTTCGGATAAGAATATCAAGGAAGCTAGCACGGATTGTCGCCTAAAAGGAGAAGAAGGCAAGACCATAACCTTGAGCGGCTCGAATACTACAAGCACGGTTCAGCTGACAACGCAACGGGCTACGCAACCGATTTACGGATATACAGCCTAGAAAACCAATCGCTCAAAATCCTTAAAGGTCTGCAGTTATTCAAGGCCCACGAGATCTGGAAAGGGCTAAGTCGCTTCTGATTAAATTCAACAAAATTTATCGGATTTTAAGTATTTTTTCGTTTATTGAGTTTTGAATACTCAATTTAATTCATCATATATAAGCCGACGTATTCGTTATAACATCGAAAGCGAAATTATACATATTATATCACGTCGAAGTTTATGGATTCTCAGCAAGCTAACTGTAGTAGTACGGCCAGCGACGGCACCTCTTTGGAAGATAAGTCCGGTGAGTTGTCCTTCGTATCCAGAACCTGTGCTCGCTCTACGTTCGCCTCCAGCCAACGACGAACAAAGCGTGCAAAAAGCGTAAATACTGCAAAAAGTGTGAGGTACGAAGACGAGCCTTGTGGTGGGTGCGCAGATATTCAAATCAAAGTAGAACAACTGGAAAAGGAGCTTGCTGATTTAAGGACGCTCGTGAAACAGTCCGTAGTCGGCCAGAACGTGTCCAGTGTTAGAACCCCAAAAACGAAGAGCAAAACGCAAAAAACGCGCAAAAATATCGCCTTGGGGGAATCTTCAAACACGAGTAGCAACTCAGCAGCCAAAACCTCAGACGCCGGTAACAGCAGGACAATGAAAATGAAGCCGCCGATAAAGGGTGACTCGATTCCCACGCACGATGTCTTAAGCGATGTCACAAAAAAGTTACATGTCGCGGAAGCCATCTCAACTAAGCCTCATGCTGTAAGTGATGGGATTTCAGTTTTGCCTGGAGATGATATACCTGGGTCATCAAGTCTACTGTTACCCTCTTGTTCTGGCAACCACCCTGAGCGCACTACAGTGCACGTAGCTGAATGCGAAGACATAAACCCGTGGGTAGGGGGGAGAGGGAAATGCCATGACAGGATTCTGAAGTCCCAGCCAGCCCTGATGGGTTGCTCGGGACAGTCGGTAGACAGTAAAAGTGTGCGTCCAAGCGATGACTCCGTAAATCGTCCTCGCCCACATGCAGCGCATTCACCGGAAAGACAGAGTAAGGAGGACCATGCTCGCCGGCAATGTCTGGTTATTCAGGGTTTGTCAGAATCGAATGCAGTCAGACCTGAAGACCGTGTCTCAGAGGACCTTGCTTCTTTTCATGGTCTGCTAAATCATTTACTGCCGGCAGACATGGAAATAAAGGTTCTGAAGGCATTCCGGATAGGAAAAAGGAGTGAAGACAGGACAGTAGCACAACCACCTCGCCCTCTCAAAATTATGCTGGAGAACAAAGAGCAAATCAAGTTTATCCTCTCCAAAAAAACCGATCTCATAAACACACACAAGCAGGTTTTTTTCAACCGGACTATTCACCAGCGGAACGATTGAAACGCCGGGAACTTGCCTTGGAGTTAAAATCAAGACTGAAGGATGGCGAACACAATCTGGCTATCTTCAAGGGGAAGGTAGTTCGAAAATATATGCCGTTTCAGTGGAACCAGCCTGTAATACTACGAACAACGACAGCTACTCAGCTAAAACAGACACCTTCGTTGAACCACCTGATCAAGGCGCCAACACAAGTGAGCCCGTAGCGTCCAGTGATCTGACTGAAACAAGGCTTGTAAATGGAACCAATCAGGTAACGGAAGAGCCTAGAGAACACGACGTCCGCGATAACGGAGTAATGCTCACAGCAGTAACAAATGCAACGGGGAATTTGGTTGGTGCTAAACTGAGGTGCTTGTACACGAATGCCCAAAGCCTCATATCAAAACTAGACGAACTAAAACTTTGCCTTGTTGAGCTGTCTCCAGATGTTTTAGCAGTAACTGAGACCTGGCTGTCCGGGAATATTAGCGATAACGAAGTAGCCTTGCCTGGATACCAAATTTATCGGAAGGACAGGGAACATCGTCAGGGTGGTGGTATCGTTATGTATGTGAATGAAGGTCTGAAAGTGTCGGATAACACCACCAAGTTTGCGTGCAGTACGGAAGCTATTTGGTTGACCATCAAGGCTACCGGTTCCCCGTGTCTCGATGTCCTCACTGTCTACCGACCACCTACGACAGACCGAATCGCCGACACTCAACTATTGGAGCAGTTGGAGAAATTTTTCAGTCGACCTAACATCATGATCATGGGCGACTTCAACGCACCAGGAACAAACTGGAATACCCTCCAAGCGTCAGGTCTAAAATCGGCATTCGATTACCGCCTGTTGAGCAAGACATTAAATGCGTGCCTCACACAACATGTAATGTTCCCAACGAGAACACGTGAAGGACAAAGGGAAAACTGCCTGGATCTGGTCTTTACGAAAACACCAGACAGCATAGACGAGATCGCCTCCATGCCGCCCCTTGGCCGAAGTGACCACGTAGTGCTTATGTGGGATTATTCGTTATTCTCCATTTCACATACTCCAGACCACAAAAGGCGTAATGTTTGGCGGGGCGACTTCAATCAGATGAGGGCAGACTTATCCGGTCTTGACTTGGGCTCATTGTTTACGGGAAGTGCTAACGATGACTGGGAGCTGTTCAAGAATGTCCTTCTGCAGCTCATCAACAACCACTGCCCACTGACTAGTGTAAGACTGAACAAACGCCCTGGGTGGCTAAGTAGCAACCTTAAGAAAGAAATCAACAGGAAGCACAAATTGTGGAGAAAATACTGCGTCACTAGACAAGCTGAATGCTTCAACACCTACAAGACACAGAGGAACAAACTGAGGAAGCTGATAATGCAGACGCGGCGGGAATTCGAGAAGAACTTGCTACAAAAAGCAACGCAGAACCCAAAATTGCTCTACAGCTACCTCCGACGAATTACAAGGAACAGGCATCAAGTCCCTTTGATAAAAACTACTGATGGCGATGAGATCGCTGATAGTAGGGATAAAGCTGCGTATTTTTCTCGGTTTTTCCAATCAGTCTACACAAACGAGGCAAGGTTCCTTCCTCCCTCCACAGAAGAACTGCCGACTCCAAGCGTCAGTGATATGCTCTTCTCAGAAGGCATTGTCCGAAGAGAATTAGAGGCATTGAACGAATCTAAGTCGCCAGGACCAGACGAGATTCCACCCAGGCTTCTGAAGGAACTTGCCAGTGAGCTCTTTGTGCCCTTGTCGATGCTCTTTCAAACGTCATTTGACACTGGAACACTTCCTGTCGATTGGAAGCTGGCGCATATTACTCCGCTACTCAAAGGAGGTAACAGGGCAGCGACGACAAATTACCGGCCCATAAGCTTGACATGCATTCTCTGCAAAGTTATGGAAAGGATCATAAAGAGTGAACTGATGCAATTCCTGGAAGTTCACGGCCTGCTATCGAAATGCCAACATGGGTTCCGAGCAGGAAGATCCTGCACGACAAACCTGCTGCAATCTCTCCAGAGCTGGACCCGAGCTCTCGACGACAGGCACGCGGTCCACATAGCCTTCATCAACTTCCAGAAGGCTTTCGACACTGTGCCACACCAAAGGCTCTTACATAAGCTGAAAAGAATAGGAATCGGTGGCAACTTCCTTAAATGGATCGAAAACTTCCTTGTGGGTCGACAGCAGGTTGTGTGCGTCGGTCGGGGAAAATTAGAGCCGGCTATGGTCGATAGTGGTGTCCCCCAGGGTTCAGTTCTGGGACCCATTTTGTTCCTTATCTACGTGGACGATGCCGCAAGAGATTTAGATTGTGAAGCTGCAATGTTTACGGATGACATGAAGATATGGAGTGTAATTCGGGGTCCTGCCGATGAAGACAGACTGCAGATGAACCTGAATCGGTTGGAGGAGTGGTCAAACCGTTGGCTCCTGCGGTTCAACGTTGCCAAATGTAGCATACTTCGCCTAGGCAACACAGCCAGATCCGCCAGCACAAGAAACTACTTTCTGGGCGGTGCAGCCCTACAAGAGGTCGAAGCCCAAAGGGACCTTGGTGTGCTGACGACGAGTTCCCTAAAACCATCCGCCCACTGTTCGAGGGTGGCAAAAACCGCAATGTCCGTACTGTACGCCATCAAGCGTGCGTTTATGGACTTTAACGAAGATGCTTTCTCTAAGACATTTGGAACATTCGTCCGGCCGCATTTAGAGTACGGCATACAAGCTTGGAGGCCGTGGGCTATTGTGGATCAAAACTGCCTCGAAAGAGTCCAGAGGAGAACCACGAAGATGGTTAGGGGTCAACGCTCCTTTCCTTATGCAACCCGCCTAGTAAATCTAAACCTCTTTCCTTTGAGTTACAGGCAACTTCGCGGAGATCTCTTGCAAGCCTTCCGCATTGTCAAGGGGTTGGATTGCAGTCTGGCCTTCGAAGACTTTTTTGAATTTGCTACCACGACCAACCTCCGCGGTCACCCGTTAAAACTGCGCACTCAGCAGGCACGGCTGGATGTGCGGAAGTTCTCCTTCGCGGTTCGGGTGGTCAAACCATGGAATGAGCTTCCCGCAGATGTTGTGATATCACCATCTATACAAAGTTTTAAGAAGAATCTGGACATATTTATGTTCCGAAATGACCAAGAGCGATGAGAAGTCGAGCTCACCCCTGTAACTCCTTCTCATTTTGTCCCACCATTATGGGCGTGTTCGAACTATTTCAGCCCAGAACATCTATCTGTACACCACACATTTTTTACGTTGCAAATAGGGTACTCAAAGGCTTACGCCTATTTCCCTTAATAAACTGAACTGAACTGAACTGAACTGCATATATTGAACAGACGTACCTTGATTTCCATTTACCCATGCTTCTATACCGAAACGTGTCGTTGGTTAAGTGAAAGACACAGCCTTATCGTGGTGTGATAGAGCATAATTTGTCAGCATAAGCAGTGAGCATGACATCCTTTACTGAAGCGGCAGAGGAGATTCGACAGACAGAGGCAAAATTGTTATCGAGAGTGGTTTCAGCCCTCTAAGAAGCTTGGCCATGTACAAAGCGTATGTCTGGGCATACACTTTGTGCATCTGCGACCATTCAATGAAGACAAAATAATCGCCGGCATCGTGGAGCCGAGGACTGAGTGGTATGCGGGCAAACAGCTGTATATAGGTACGCAAGGTAGACGAAAGGAGGCTTGGGTTGGCCGAAGTGTTGGCGCCTCCTAAAGAGGTCTGGAACGGTACCCTCTTCTATGCCATAAGTCGGCCGAACGGTTGATTCCTTTTTAAGTACAGTCTACACCAGGTACGCGGGTGTCATTTTCAGCGGTATTGAAAGATTTATGATCAGAGACAATATGAGAGTTGAGGGGGGATGAAATGGTATATGAAGGAGACATGTAAGGGCGCGGATTGTGGGATAGGCCCATTTTTGTCTATGGGGCTGGGCTGGCAGTTCCCCTGGGACAGCCGCCTTTACCCGGTCAACGCTGACCTCGTCTATTGCGATGCAGCGAAGGGTATGGCAAGTCCTGGTGTTGTCTGAGAGTACCTTATTCATTCATTCATTATGTGATTCCAGCGGCTCAAGCAGTTGATCCATGAAACAAACATTGGAGTGCGACCCCTAAAGTCTTTTTCGACATAAGGCTCGGCCGATGGATTGCGCAACGTGAACAATGAAGACAAAAATATCTCCAGGCGTTGCCCAACGTTATCCGGATTTTTGTATTTGAAGCTAGAGGCTGGGGTAAACTGCTCCTTTGGCAGTCGGAAGGTTGTGTCGAACATCAATTCAGCTACGTTGTAGTCCGGATCCAATTGGCGTGCCACATAAAAGGTAAAAATGTTTGGGGCAGATAGTCAGACCAATTCGTTTGGTCTTCTGTCTCACGCATTTTTATATTGGATTAGCCGTGGAAACGTTTGACCATGCCGTTGGGTAGGTACTAAAGGATGGGTTGTCGCACGAGTATATGAGCATGAATGCAAACATACGAGAACTTGGAAGAGGGCAGACTGGGAATGAGCATCCTAGTAAGTTTAAGTCGGTCTAGTAAGGGAATGAGGCTTTCGCACATGAACTCCGTGTTCACATCAAAAAGCAGCAATACAATCCATTGTTACATCAGTAAATCTGAAAATTCAGAAGCCAACGGTACGTGTGAGCCAGGCTCAAACTACCGCCGCTACCACGATCGTGATTATATATAGAGTAATTTCTCATAAAATGAGCATCTGGTCTGCAAGTAAAGGATTCAGTGGTTTCCGAAAGAAACACCAGGGAGTCCGTTTCATCCACCAATGACCCTATGCGAGAAGGCCTTCCGTCGGATGTATGTGTGGGCCAGTTTCATCTGCAGGTTAAAGTGATGACCATGCAGACGATCCGTCTCACACAATTCGAAGAATTCGTCAAAGTAATTTGAGTAACAGACGGCTACAGAGTAACTTGATACAGACATTAGGCCTTATGCGCTTTCAGGGGTGTTGTATTGCGCCTGAGAAATTAATCGAGTAAGTGACCACTGCAAACCTCTGTGGACATCCAGGCAAACTAAGTATAACTGGGACAAGGCTAGGCGTTCAGTAGTTGTTTGTTTTTAAGCAAAGAGACTGGATCATGGTATGCTGTCCCTGTGTGTGCCGTTATGTCCACATCCGTAGAACATTTTAAGAGAAAACTGGAGTAGTGTGACTTTTCTCACTACAATGTGCGACCAGCATCGTTTTGACGTCTTACGCTGACAGGCAATTACTGTTAAAATACTACTATTTAAGTAACAATAGCGTGTCCTTTTGAAATGTTTTGCTGTCAACGACTCGCTGCATATACCTACCAACATTCGCATTGTCTCTAAAAGAATATCGGCACCGCGTCACGTTCCCTGCCTATTTAGTTTTCTACGTATTAACGAGTGTATATATTCTCAGCGCTGTTTTTACTTGAGATCATCCTACTGTCAGTAAGGTATTATTATCTGATTGGTGCAAGGTAAGTGTTACTTTTTTCGAGTTTGTTTTGTATTCCATTTGCTTACAACCACGAAAAAACCGAATCGAACATGGCCGCCAGTGACCGACGAAATTCTTGGCGATGGTGCTTCCCTTCACACTCGCGGGTACTGGCATCCGCAGAGCAGATATGCCGAGTGAGTCACGCAAAGGCGTCTGCGTAGCGACTGGATGGAGGCAAGTCCCTATGTCATTCAGATGAACATGAGTGAACCATGCGTCCTTGGTGGAGAATGTGTCAGGAGAAACACGCTGTGGAGTAACACCAAGCTTTGGTGATATCTTGGACACAATCGCACACGGTTTTCAAGTCTTCGTTCGAATTATTGCCATCTCTGACTGCTGAGCCCCGTGTAAATTTTCTCACCTCGGCAAACATACTCGTGTAACTTTATTGTTCCTGCCTTTTGGTTTGGGAATATTCTAGCTGCCGACCGTAGTACCATGGCAATCTTGGCAATCATTTATTAACGCCGTCTGGTTGCTCCCGGATATCGATCTCGTTAAAGGCACTATTACTTTGCAGCTTTGTCGTGGCATATGGGAACGCCCGAGTGCTGCTGGACAATTCCTCTTACTCCCATTAGTTGTGCTTTCATTCAGTTTTCACCCAATTTATGGACAGAAATCTTCTTATCATGGGTTGCATTTAAACCCGGCGAAAGTTTGAAGAGGCACTCTAGGAACACCCACCGAACCACTGGATTACAATTCTAACGTATTCAATTGTAGTCGGTAAATGACTTCTCATGATAAGTGTTTGAAAATCCGACTAAATTCTCACGCCTTAATCCTAGAATTATATTTTAAAAAACAGACCAGAAACTATGAAATGCATGCCAAACAATTTTCGATTCGCCTGACGACGAAAGCAGTAGTTATGTTATTCTACAAAATAAGATTTGGTTGCCAATACTACCCCTTCCATCCATTTTAATTCACATAACCAAGGATAAAAGGCTATGGCTTAAAACCAAAGGGGTTACCGAATTTGTGTGTGGGTATCTTTGTGGAAATGTAACAAATTGTCAGGTGGTCGCAAATGAATTTCAAATCGCGACAAACTTTTGCATATATGCAAATGACGGCGTTAATTATGGAAGAGCATGCAATCTCATCATTGCTTTCCAAAATAGGTATGGAATGATGAAAACCCGCAGGACCTCAATAAATCTGATATTGTAACAAACAAAGTATAATCGCCAGACACTCGAGTGGGCGCTAATATTAACAGTATAGGTGGGTTTTAACAAGACAAAGTGATAAATGACGTTTTTCCCGTGGGATATTTACAAATGCAACACGAGTATTTTCGCCGTCAATGTCCACAATAATTACGCCCATTTACCGCGAGAGGAGTGAGTAGTGGAGGATAATTACGAACGATGGGTGATGTGTACCAGTTTTGAATATCTCATGTATAGTGCAAATAAGTCCACTTTTCCGCAGTACGGACGTTCATTGAAGTGAGGCCTGGACGGTATTTTCAATCACTCAAGGACATAGTGATACCAGAAGGGTGCTTATTCAGGCAAAGCGGCGAAATAACTGCTTTTTTGGGATTTAACTTTTAAATTGCCTTGGACGTGTGCTAGCCCAAGATGAGGAAAACATATTGGATTTACAAACCATCCCGTCAATAAGTGTTGGCGATAGTACAGTTATGCCCTTCGAATATTTCATGTTCTCCTAGTCTGATCCACTTTTACAAATGAAAAGATACCTCTAGATCTTTTAGCATGTAAACGCATATCTCAGCAATACTATGGTAACCACAATGCTGGTTACATTTAGCGAATATTGGTGCATGTTCCGTTTTGTTGGTTAAAGAATCATTAATCTAGTTTATCCAATGAGACGAAAGGAAACTGCAACCGTCCGCCGTGGGCAAAATGGGAACTGTACACTGACTTTACGAGAAGAAATAAGATGTGCGGAGGATTTCAGCTATCGAAGTGTACAGAATACTTGCCTAATACATACAAACGACGGCGAGATGTGCGTAAAGCTGAGGCTAAGAGACTTCGAAGGAACTATACATTAAACATACTCCCGAAGTCTTTGGAGCACCCCAAAAATCTTTACAGTTACATACGTCCTAGTAAAATGAACCGTGACCGATTTCGATGCTGAGGTCACAAAACAGACTATTGGAGACGGATAACCAACGAAAGCATCAGGCCTCTCTTTTTCTTTCAATCGGTGTTCTCTTATGAATCGAATCTTCTCCCCCAAACCCACCCAGCATAACAATAAAATTCTGCATTGTTTGCATTAGAAAGTAGTCTTTACTTCTCGCCCACTTCGATAATGACAGAAAGAAGTTGACTGAAGTCTTCAAATCACCTGGTCTAGATAGAATTTATTCAGTTGCCTTTTCGTACTGTGTAAGCCGGTACCTATGATATCCCGGGAGTCCATGGAAGGTTAACTGACAGAGTAATGGAAAACTGTCTTTCTTTTCCAATCTACAAAGGCAGGTCCCGCATGAGGTCCGAAAATTATGGTCCCATTGGTGTAACCTGCATTTTGTCCAAGGCTGTGGAATGATTTATTAAGAGACATATGATGGGGATTATGTAGCAAAGGCACCTTATATCTGCTGTACGGCACGACTTTTGTCGTGGTCACTCATGTTTTGTGAGTAGTTTTGCAGTAAGAATAGGTTGAAACCTAGTTAACTTCGCCAATGGCGGGAGTGAAGATAGTAGGCATAGTGGCTGACAAAGCGTCGGGGTGTTCTGGCCACTGACGGGAGTGTGAGAGTTAGCGGTCACCGTCTTCCTCGTAGACGCTGTAGCCGAGATGACGGAGACAGCGGTGACCAACGGCTGCGGACTACCCGGACTGCGACTAGCGGCAGTGTGTTTTAGTCATCTAGGATGCTTTGGGTGCTGGAGCTGGTAATGTGAATAGGCGTAATTTCCGGTCGTTGGGCTTTTGGTACATTGAACCAGGAGTTGTCCGCCGAGATCGATCTAGAGGCGAAATATTCATGGAATATGGAGCATGTTGGGAGGGGGGTTGGGTCTTGGCTCTGAGAATCGCGGGCATATGAGACTCGCAAACTTTTCTCCTGAATCCGACAGGGGAGATTTAGTTTGTTTCACATATTGCTGCTTCAGTCTTCACTGTCCTTCTCCAGGCCAATACGTCATTTGTGAGGTTTTCCAGGTCTTTGAGGGGATTTGTAACTGCAACAATTATACTTGTACCGGCGCATACTTAGCGATATCTTCACAAAAGAGACGTCCTGAAAGTTGTTCATCATTCATCCTCACCAGGTTGTCGCGTCGTCGTGGTTGTGTCAGCGTCAGCTTGGTGAGATGTGTATGGGTTTGTGGTTGGTCTAAAACTCCGGACATTCCACCTATAGTTAGTAGCGGCGACGAGCATGTCTATGGAAGCCACAATGACTTTCTTGCAACCGTCTCTAGTCTCAACGCCCATTGAAGAGGTTAAGAAGGATGTACGTAAGAATATCCCGCGTGATTTTGAGCAGCGAGACTTCCTTATTTTCCTCATTGTATTGCCAATCCCCTTTCGGCTTATGAGACGGACGATTCCAGTGTCTTTGAAATCTTGAAGAATTTGGCCTTGGTGCCATATCGTTTAGCAGGGCAGCTGAAAGTTTGTCCATCATTTAGGGCCACTATACTTGTAAATGTCTGCCGTGGTCGCGTCGGAGCCTGACTGTTTCACGCTGGAGAGTCGCTGTCTAGCACCGAAAGCTTTTGAGAGGGATGGCAAGTTGTCAGGGTCGGTATTCATTTCCACTTGGGAGGTTCGATTAATAACGGCCTAAGATATCAAGGATGAGCACTCGAAAGCATTCCTGAAATGCTCGGTCTAGTGTCCCAGAACCTATGATTTATTTGCTAAAAGTGTCTTTCCGTCAGTGTTGAGGAGAGAGGTTGTTATTCTGACTGGAAAGCCAGAGGTGGCCTAGGTTGATATGGAAAGTTTTGTTTCACTGATGTGCGCATACCTCCTGACCTCATCGGCCTTAAGAACTACTCAGACGACCTCCATTACCCGTGGTTGTTGCTACACAAGTCGGCGACGTCTGTAGAAAGCCATTTCGTTTGCTTCGGTTCGGAAATCGATGAAGACTTTGCGCCGCCTGTTATCTTAATCAAGTAAATCGCTGATATCCGCATCATCGCCACCAAGCCAGTCCTGGTTCTATAGACATGAGCATCGAGAGAGCCGGTGTGGTGTTGTGGATAGCGTCCGGCAGCTGGCATTGACAGATCTCCACGGGGTCTTTTCATTTGGTGCTTACAGATCCTGCAGTTGCATGATTAGTTAGTTTCTGAAAACGAAATTTTTAGCAGGCAGATTCACCCACACCAATTTAACCTGCTATGTAGTCGCTTACCTTATGGTGTTCTGTGTGGTTACATTCATAGCCCCGCTCTGGATATAACGAGGACGTGGTCGGCTTACACGCTGGAACAAGAGGCAGTCGTTGTCACCAGCACCTCCTGCTGGTCAGCCTCCCGACGAGAACGTGATCCAGGAACTTGCAGCAGCGCAGTCGAGGATGCATTCATGCCGCCTCCTTCAGCGCTGAAGTGGGGAAAAGGAGTTGATCAGGAGAAGGCGTTGTTCTGTGCAGTTTCGCGGGAGAAGGAGGCCGTTGTCGTTGAGGATTGCGATTCCCTGTGATCCCAGCATTTGCCCCAGTCTGCGTGGTCTGTCCCGACGGGGACGCTGAAGTCGCCAACGACAGTCAAGTTGTCTGCCTTCAGCATAGATGTCACACCAACAGTACGATATGCACGGGGAATGTATCCACGTTAACTGTTCTGCAACGGCTCGCAGTACTGCCAATTATTTGTGCTAAACGATAGAAAATAAAAGTCTAATAGGATTGGACCGCGACCCCATCGATTTCAGTTTGTCCAAACCCTTAGATGTGCAACATGGTTTGCCAGGTTGTTTGTAAATATGGCAGATTTGCAACGGAAAAGTCAATGTTGTCAAAAAAATGCGGACTCAGCTTTATACCCAGGAGGCCATTACTAAGTGTTTTAAGGCCAGGTACAAAAATTAAAACACCATTACGGCGTGAATGAGAGCACTATCCGAAATAGAAGATCACGGCCGCTTTTACCTTGACAAGTGTAAAAATTGCAGGTGTGTTGATGCGTAGCGGTAAGGCATATATGTTTAAGAGTATTGTTTCAGGACTTTGAAATAGAAGTAGAGTGATGCGGGATAATAGTCTAGGGCATATTTGGTATTTAAACATAAGAATAAGCACTTGTAGGAGCTTTTTGGAGGGATGTCGAGTATTCGCCGGTTTTGGCCATTCCCGGGTAGCTGAGAGTCCTAAGACCCCACAAATACCGAGGGAGTGACTGTTAGTAGGTACGTTGCGCTGTTAAAGCGAAGTACATCGACAAATAAGGTTTTCAGCCAAAGGATCATGATCTGCATTGCAGACCTCTAAGAGCTATATTTCAGGAACATAGCTGGTGTTTTTTATGCAAAGCGTCGCTCAATTAAGTGCCGGGGAGAGTCAGGTAAGTAGTTAGAGTATTATGCTGACCATTCCTCACAATACGAACTTCATTTTTCACCTAGCATGCCAAAAGAAATTGACAGAGTACGTTGGCACAATGGCACGTTGCCCTGTTTATTTTGAGATCACTGATATGTTTTCTGAACTCTAGACCTTAATCTGTTCCTGCAGATTTTCCACATAGTGGCCTACAAATATCCCAAAATGCCTGACATAAATAACGCGTCATTCATTCCGTTGCTAGATATGTATCAACAGAAAGCAACCCTAAATGTCCATTGAGGTTAATCTAGGAGTTAAATCGTGCGTGGTATTTTCGACGAAGTAACAGATCCAACATATCCACCAGCAACTACAAAGTATGGATGTAATCAAATACAGGATCGCACGCTGGCGGTACTATAGCGAGTCGGGATAAAAAATTCGACAAGATTACTTGTAGGAATGGTCAGAAATAATGGAATTACTGAATGGTATTACTGACAAAGATACAGGGGACCGGAATCGCCATTTCTGCATTATTAACGGTCGTCAGCCAGTCACATTCGACCCCCGGACCCCGAAGTGTCGAACACCTGGGACTCAAACTCGCGACCTGTTAGCTGGGAGTCCAACGCCTCTAATCACTGTCACGGGCTCGTTTTCTTGTCAGTCGCGATCGGGTATATGCGATGGTAGAGGGGAGCTTACCGACGAAAATGAAGTTACCCGTACTTTGTCTCAGCTGATTCACAAAAGTTGAAAATGGATTTTCAAGTCGACGACGACCCTTTTCTTTAACTTTCATTGCCCTGTGAGAGCTCTCCCTACCGGACACGCATAAGGCCATCAATCGCTATTACTATAAATGATTACTGGAAATATCCCACTTTTCTTTAATTCAAAGACTGTAAAAACTATTGGACAGGCAATAGCTCACTTAGACAGTGCCTTCAACAGATCCCAACAATACACGCATGATTTGTCCCACCTGTCATTTTCGTCAATTATTGTATACCGGGCTCCAGTCAATAAACGGGAACTGAAGGATTTGTGTGTCCCTCTGCGCTATGGACAAATATGCCTCAAAGGTACCCCCTTACTTTCTGTTCTTTGTGGATTAAAGTGCTGAATTACTGATTGACTATCTCAGTGTTAGCTATTGCGCGTTTTAGATTGTCGTTTTAGGTAGAAACTGAAAGTTCCATTTCTGTGTTACAAGAGGAATATCCTAGTAGCAATGAAAACCGAGTCGAATTTAGACTAATGCGACTACTTCAAGACTGGCGCAAAATTCGTGGTCATTTGCACGGTCGTGGCTTTGGACCCACGCTGATCTCGCGCACATAAAATGTCCATACTATGGTTAAACTATCTGCCTATTAGAACTCCATTTAAGGTAGTAATTTATTAAAGACACATCGGGGTCCCATCAAAGCATCAAAGTAGTGGTCACCTTCAAGGTCAGCCAGTCGAACTGTCGAGGTTGAAATGAACTCGATCCGGGCTTCGAAAGTGGCCACTACTTTGTACTTAAATCGAATTCTGATCGGTGGACCAGCCGTCCACAGTACCTGCAAAATGAGCAAGAGTCCGTGATCAAGCCTTTGTAACTGACGACGAATATGTACCAGTCTTGAAGTGATAGCAATATTGCGCTTTAAGTCAACTTTCATTGCAACCAGGGATAGACTAGTAAACCCCAAACCAATGCGATACTCGTTGACTCGGTTTTCTGTCATGTTTCAAGCGGACGCCTCAGTGAGATCACCGGAGAATTTCCATTGAATTTTATAGAGCAATCTAGTATGGTAAGAAGCGCCTCAGCATTGACAAAACTAGCCTTGACAATCACAGGTTGGACGACTGGATACAGGCTGTTACCAATCCAAATTGTCTTGCAACCATGCCATATCCAATAAAAAGTTCGCAGCGAAATGCAAAAATAAGATAAGACACGACAAATGATGTAGAAGGCGCGTTACATCCAAGACCAGGAAAAAGCGAACTTTGCCCAGAAACTCGGTCAGACTCAGAACTCGTAAAGGAGTCTTCAAAACCTCCTAAAGGTACGCGACTTCACTGCTCACGTTATTTTACGATTAGTACTGTCCTAACAAACTGGTGACATCTAATGCCTAAGTCCAAACTTCATACTGAACCGGATGGAGTTACCTTTCCATAGTTCCTGAACAGAACAGGTATGGGACATCGCTCAAAAAATAGAGTATTGAGAAACCTTAGTAGACTAAGTGGTCTTTCATCCCCTGTGGGATATTTTACAACACCGAAGGTGAAGTAGACGTGTTTCCAGTAACTGTCGCTTCTGGCTTATTTGTCGGCCTCGCCCGGCAACAGGCAGAATAGGCCGCTCAATGTTACTCCAATGAGACGCCAGTCGAAGTTAACAAGGCGAGTCCCCCCTCTCCCCGGCAAGAGCCAAGGTGAGCAGTATTGAGAACCCTCAGTGGACTTTCATTCCCCGCGGGGTATTTTAAAACGCTGGAGGTGAACGAGACGTGTCTCCGACAAAAATGAGGGTAGTAGTAACTGTCAATTCTGGCGTATTAACCGGCATCGGCCGGCTACAAGCAGCACAAACTTCTAACGTTACTCCAATGGGATGCCAGTTGAAGTCGACCCCTCCCCCCCCAATCCCCCCACGGCAAGAGCCAAGGTGAGCAGGCGAAAAGCAATGAAAGTGAAATATAATCATTTGGACGTCGAAACACAAATTCCTTTTTGAACACAAGCATGATCGGACAAAAAGCACCGCGTAAAAGTGAGTGGAGGCGCAGATTTCTGAAGGCGTGTTACGCACGTGATTGTCAAGAGACTGTTTGACGACAGTACAAAGTCACGGGACTGGAAATGCACATAGAGCAAATACTGGCGGTTGAGTGGAGGACCAAACAGGGGCGTCCGGTCAGCAGAAATCACTTTTCTTTCAGGTCCACTGGTACACGCCTTGTTACCCGGCCACAGAGCAGGCCAAAAATAAAGATGAGGCCAATCACGGCAAAGGCCACTGCAAAAATCAGGTTTCGCGAGGTGCTGGCATTTAACTCGGCTGCCAGTTTGCGCCAGTCTGCGGCCCCAGACAGCTTAGCGGAAATGGCCCACAGATCCTGCCTTAGGGTCAAACTTCGTCGGCACTTTGCATCAACTTGGTCGGAGAGTGACGGGTCATCCAGGGCCGCGAGGAGGCATTTCATTCGACGGCCATTACCGGGGGCAACCTGGGAGCGGTATGAGAAGGACTGCTTCAGGAGTAGAAGGCAGAAAATGGTGCGGCCTACTCACCAGAGGCGCACAACGTAGGTAAATTATCACAGGCTCAAAAACTTGGAATTTTATCACGAAAACTGCGAGAGTTGAAGGCTTCTAGCGTTTAGATTAATGAGCTTCGGAGACAGGGGCACCTATTCCCCTGTCCTGGTCCTACGCCGCCCGCCCGCCTCCCTCTAGAATCTAGGGCAATGCTATCTATAAAAATGGGAGGTCCATACTCCCGTTCCCAACCAAGAGTCCTTTCGGCCATTTCTGCATATCTAATATTCAGAAAAAGATAATTCCCCAACCAGCGTGCAGTTCTGATGCGCACTGAACATTGTCATGGGTACCTGTACTTGTACTTGATACAGCTGCGATCATGCCAGATTTAGCCGGCCTCGATGATGTCCCGAACTGTACCTCTCCACGCGTGACAATCCGCGGCAGCAGATCTAGACAGCTCAACCCATTCCCTTCGCCAACGACGGAGACCGAATACCGAAGGTCCAAGAGCCACCTCCATGTCTTGACGGACAGTGTCGAGCCAGGTTTTGAACTGCCCCCCCTTCGACGCCTCCAATGGGGCAACGGTGCCGGATCGAGGGCTATAACACTGAGCTCCTGAGATGGACGACGAAGAACATGCCCGAACCACCTCAGATGTCTTTCTTGGATGGCCTAAGTCATCCTTGCGATGTTGTTGCAGCGAGCGCGGACTGTCTCAGTTGAAACGAAGTCGGTTAACTTCACTCGAGGGATGATTCCCAAGCAGTGGTGGTCAGATACCTCCAGTTTTCGCTCATCCTCCACGCGCAAAGCCCAGCATTCACAAGCGTAGAGAAGGACAGACCGGACAGATGCACGTTACACGCGAAACTTAGTGGCGATG